GGCTTTCTGAGCCGGCCCCGCGCGCCCCGGTTCTGCCCTGGGACCGGCCGCCTCACTGAGCCGGGGCAGTTTTAGCAGTGGGGATAGTGACACCCACCGCCTGGGCTGCTGCAGACGAGTCAGTCCAGCGCCGGCGGGAAGTGCCCTGTGGCTTTGCGACTCGCAAGAAGGCAGAGGAGCTGCTCCCCCCTCCCCTTGCCCACGCCCAGCTGCGCGCAGCGGAACAGGTGAAGATGAAAATGCCCTGCAATAAGGGGGACGCCGTTCCCATTTTTTAAAGGTCCCTTTTGTGAAGTAGCCAGGATTGACGCGGCTGTTCTCTTCCGAGGTGAAAGACCAGGCACCGTGCTCATTTAATTCTCACCGCGACCTGCAGCCACTAGCGGGCCGAGTTGGGTTCCGAGCCAGTACAGCCTAACTGCGACTCTAGCCTTTTTCTCCTGTGCTGCATTTCAGCTTGGGACTGTGTTTTCAGTCTGGCTAAACTTGTTCCAAGCTTGCTTTAATCTAGTGGCAGGAGAGATGACTGAGTTGGAAAATACATTGGTTCTGCACCTCTCCTTATCCCTGCCAAAGCTAAATCTTTGCCCCATCCAACTATCTGTAAAATTATTCTTGTTAAAAGCTTCGTGCAAACCACTGGGTGGGGGCAGGGGGATTACTGATTTCTGTAACGCGTGAGGAGAATCCGCTGAGTCAGTACGCACGTATTTCCTTCCTGAGCTGCCACGGCATTCTCCCCCTCGCACCATTTCACCCTAGAAAGAACCGAGTTCGAAGTCAGATATTCTTACATATGTATTAAAACCTTGACTGAGGCTGGGTGCAGTGGCTCAGGCCTGTAATCCCTGCACCTTGGGACGCCAAGGCAGGAGGATCGCTTGAGGCCAGGAGTTTGAGACCAGCCTGGGCAACATAGTGAGACCCCCAGCTCTACAAAAAAATGTTTAAAAATAGCCAGGCATGATGGCAACAGCTGTAGTCCTAGGCCTTCAGGAGGCTCAAGCAGGAAAGTCACTTCCCTGGAGCCCGGGAGTTCGAGGCTGCAGTGAGCTAGGACTGCACCACTGCACTCCAGCCTGGGTGACAGAGGGAGACCCTGTCTCTTAAAAACAAAAGCAAAAACAAAACTCTTGACTGATGATTCAGATCCTGAAGGCCCTGGATGCCGTAGCTACAGAGAGGCATGAAAGTGAATGAAGTACTCAGGAGGGAAAGACGGCGACAATCTTTTAGGTCACATGGAAGGTCCGGGTTCTCTTACGTTGTAGTGCCTGGTATAGTGAAAGAAGCCAGGGACAGGGCTAGGCTCTAACCTGGCTCTGCAGGTAGCCTGCAGGTGACCTTGAACAGTTACTTAAATCCTGTTTTCCCGGGTATACATGGACAGTGACAGGTGCAGAACGTCCAAACAGTCCCGTTTCCTTAAGTGTTGAAACGTAGAATTGAAGAACGGGCAAAGGTGGGGAATTTCTTAGACTTTTTGAATCGGGGGTGTGGCGGACAGAGGGGAAAGCAGCTTGGAGGAGGAGTCTGATGGATTATAGTGGGCAAAACCAAAGATCTAAACAACATGACACTGCAAGTGTGCCTGCGCCCCGGGCTGTCTAGACTCCAGCCCGGCTTTCCGTCCTGTGCACAGCGCTCGCAGAAGGGTCAACTCAGTGTCTCTTCCCTGTTTCATTTTCAGAGAAAGGGCAACAAAAAAAAGGGAGCAGGGCGACTGGAGAAGTGATGAATTTTTTATAACAAATACCTTTTAAGTAATTTTCAAAAGCTACAGACAACCTTGCCTTTCTGGTACCTTTCATTCACTTGGCCCTTTTATCTCTATGAAAATCAACTTTTATAAAAACAACTTAGGCCACGTACGGCGCCTCACATCTATAAGCTCAACACTTGGGAGGCAGAGGCAGGAGGATCACTTGAAGTTAAGAGGTCGAGACCAGCTTGGACAATATAGTGAGACCTGGTCTCTACAAAAAATTTTTTTAAAAAATTAGCTGGGCATGGTGCCCTGTAGTCTCAGCTACTCAGGAGGCTGGGGCAAGAGGATCAGAGCAATCCTGTTTTTTAAAAAAAATTTTTAATAATGAGAACCAAGAAAATAAAATCGTGCATGTCATCACATCAGAATCCGGCTGTCAAATCCATTTAACTGCAGTGTTTAAAAAAAATTATCATCTGCACAGAAATCAAGTCACACACTTTTAAGATTCAAAATGTGTGTGTTTGCTCTCCCCTCCTACCTTTGCAACCCTGCGTATTCCGGTCCTCACCCAGGGCTGAGCCACTGAAGAATAGGGGGAGGAGAAACCCTAGTGCAGTTCTGCAGCGCAGGCTGTGCCAGCAGCCAGGTCGCTAGAATACCTCTTCATTCCCTACATTAATAACGTCTCGAACTGTCACTTCTTACTAAAAGTAGCACGTCAGCAGCTTTAAGCCCACTTGGGGGTTCTTTTTAATGGCCAGTGAGGAGGCTGAGCACACGGAGAACCAACATGCCAATGGTCTGGGCTCTCCTGCCCTACTGCTTTGAAGCCCGGCTCTTGAGAGCGACTCCACGGTCCTGGGCAGAGGCATCCTGGCTCCAGGCGCAGGGCACACTGACGTCCGTGGCTGCCGCAGCACAGCCGCCACACACAGCCTTTGCTGATGCCAGGCCAAGCTTAAAACACCTCACAGCGCAGCTGCGGCTGTGGGCGCTGTGAGCCCAGGCCGGGACAGAGTAGGGTGGCAGTGCCTCTGAGGAGAGCCACACAGACCACTTCCAGTCCGGGTGCAGAGCTCGGGTGAAGAGTGTTGCTGAGCATTCTGGGAAGAGAATGCTTTTTACCATGGCTAGGAAACGTGAAAGAGACGGTCAAGGCGGCGGGGAGATCAGGAAGGAGCATTTGGGGACTCAGATGAGAGTGCTGGATACTGGGTTTTAGAGCTGGTGGGTGGTCTTTATGAGTTCTGTTCCTGGGCCAGTGCTAAATGCACGAACGCAAGAGCACATGTGCCGGACAGACCACCCAAACCACACAGACATCTGGAACTTGGGGCAGTGGCCAGTCCCAGCAGTGGCGGGGCTGCTTTTAAAACACTGAAATTAACTTCAGCAGGCGCCCACAAAGTTCTTTGTTGTTCGAGTCTTTGAAGCTCTGCACGCCTTACGAGTAGAGAACCACCTTCTCTTTATACCTTTCAGTTCCCAAGAACGTTTTTGTCTTCTCCTGGATTTTACTGTAATCACTTTACTGGAGAATTATAGAAAGTAATGGGAGACACAGGAGGGGGCATAGAATTTGCGGATGTTCCCACACTAATAACTCTTGGTAACACACCTATATCTTTTCTGACTTCTTATAAGCAGCATCAATTGTTTTTATTGCTGAGTTTCTAAAAGCTTGACTTTTGGAGATTAAAATGCCTGTGGATAAGAAAGTTTGGGGCTTTTGTTTTTTAGTTTGAAAAGGTTTTAAGGTTAGGCGCATAGCTTTGCCTATTTGTAGAATTGTTTTATCTGCTTTTATAGTGCCAACTTCTGTTTAAGTTTCTGTTGAGTTCTTTTTTTTTCTTTTTTGACAGCCATTGCTCCCTTTGTTTGCCTGATATAAATAAAGGAAAGCATCTTAGATGTACAATTGAGGTAAACAGGGAAGCTTCTGAATAAAAGAGAGAGAGATTAGATAATTGCTAGCTGCTTGCTTTTATTCCAAAAATTAAAATTCAGACTCTCTCTTCTCAATGGAAAATATTTGGGCAACTAAATCTACATTACAAAATTCATTTGCTATTACTTATTGAACACCTATATGTTAAAGTTAGATGTCACCTGCTTGCACGTGTTTGATATATAGCATACAATATTGGTGAGTATTAAGGTTTATATAAGTAATTGGCAATTCAGAGTTTACTACTAAAATCGTGTATATAGTAAAGGCTTTTTTAGGGAACAAATACAGAGATGAAAGCAGATCTTTAAAAAAAGCAGAGAGTGGCATTTACCGAATGCAGAGTTGACAGCACTGAAGTAGGAAATTGGACTAACCTAAATCGGCCACAAATAACTTCAGTTAAGTGGTATTTTAATCTTCTCGTTCTGATAGAATTCTTTTTCAAAAAACTGGCTACAAGCGAGAGAACTCAAGGTCGGTAAGTTTTTCTCTTAATACCTCTGGTTCTGTTACAACAGCGTGGCTCCCGGAAGTCAGACCGAATCGCCCTCGCGGTCCGCAGCCTGGTTTGGACCGTCCCACACGGCACCCGCATCAGACCCTCGAGGCTGCGGGCCGGCCCTGCGCGCTCCGGCGGAGCGGGCGGTCGCGTTCCCGAGTCGAAGGGCCCCCCGGCCGCTCTCTGAAGCTGTCCCCTTCTCTCTCCCCAGGGACCCCCTGACGCTCCAGCAGCTGCAGAGCCAAGCCCGCCTGTCCCCGCCCGAGCCCTGCGCGCCCCCCGCGCCCATGAGCGCGCTGGCCTCCCGCGCCGCCGCCGCCATGCAGTCCTCCGGCTCCTTCAACTACGCGCGCCCCAAGCAGTTCATCGCCGCGCAGAGCCGGGGCCCCGCGTCCGGCCACGGCACGCCGGCCTCCAGCCCCGGCTCCTCCAGCCTCCCGTCGCCCATGTCCCCGACGCCCAAGCAGTTCGGCCGCGCGCCGCCCTTCGCCGAGCCCGAGGGCCCCTGGGGCCCGTCCTCGCTGTCGCTGTCGCCGTCGCCCCCGCCGCCGCCGCCCCCGGCCTTCAGCCCCGGCCCGGCCTTCGCGGGGCCCGACGTGTTCCCGCCGCCGCCGCCGCCCCCGCTCCCGAGCCCCGGCCCGACGCCCGCCGCCTTCCTGAGCGCCCTGCTGCCCTCGCAGCCGCCGCCCGCCGCCGTCAACGCCCTGGGGCTGCCCCGCGGCGTCACCCCCGCGTGAGTGACGCCCGCACCCCCATGCCCGACCCCCCATGCCCGCGCAGCGCCCGCGCCCCGCCCGGCCTCCCGGGACGGCCAGCACGGTTCCCTCCCCCGGGCCGTAGCAGCACAGCCCCGCCGAGCTGCTGCCCAGCCACCTGACCCTACCAAGGGCGACGCTCTGTCCTGGGAGTTAGACACCGAAATGCTCAAAACCTACGCAGCGCTCTGAACGGTTACGGAGAGGGCAGCGGCCTCGCCTGCCGTGTAGGGAGCCTCGTGCTAAGCGGTTCGCGTGGGTTACTTCACTTGGCATGCTTGTCCCCACTGAAACAGCTGAGGATTCCAGTAGTTAAATAATTTGCCCAGGGTCACATGGTCACTAAAGTGATATTTTAACCCATGTTTGTCCAATTTCCAAAGTCCATGCTCTTACCACCAAAATACGTATCTTAACATCCCACACCAGTATTACAATAGACGTGGAGGAGTTTCGTTATTAAGTATACTTAGTGTTTTGGAAAAACCCAAATTAACAGAAGTAAGAAATAAGCCTTTACATGATCTAGTGATTGATTGGAAGGGGCAAAAACAAGTAAACGTCTTTACGTTTTGGTGCAAACAAATGAGGTGCATGCAAGTAGTGAAGACAGGATGCTGCCAGTCCTGCCTCTGGCCGGCAGTGTCCCCAGCTAGCTTATGGGCTCTGCTAGCTCAGTTTGTTTATTTGCAGATGATCTACTGTCTGTCTCTTCTTACATCACAGTGCTGACGGGGCAGCTCTATGAAATCTTTACAGTAGAAAATCTGTGAGGATAAATAAGATGACATCTACAAATGTACACTAAAACCTTCAAAAGAAATATCGTACAGGTGTTTGGCATGTTCTACTGAGGAGTAAAGTGAATAAAAGTTAGCACTTACTCATTTTACTGAAGAATTCAAACACGAGTAAGTGCCAGCAAAAGTCAAGCCAGTGCCCACATCTCAGCTCTCCCTGCTGAAATCCTCCTTCAGCTTGCCGGAAGCCCAGTGTTGCTCAGAGGAAAAAGGAGGAAGCCTGCTAAAGAATAAGAAGGCCAGGCGCAGTGGCTCACACCTGTGATCGTAACGCTCTGGGAGGCTGAGGCAGGAGGGTCCCTTGACCGTAGGAGTTGGAGACCAGCCTGAGCAAGAGTGAGGCCCCTTCTCTACTAAAAATAGAAAAATTAGCCAGACGTCCTAGCTCAAGTGCCTGTAGTCCCCGCTACTCGGGAGGCTGAGGCAGGAGGATCGCTTGAGCCCAGGAGTTTCAAGTTACAGTGCTTCAGACAGTGCCACTGCGCTCCACCTGGGGTGACAGAGCGAGACTGTCTTCAAAAAAGAATAAAAATGAGAAGACCTTAGAATTCAAGCTTTTCCTTTTTTCATTCATATATAAAATTTTCTTTCTCTGGGATAGACTAATAGACTAACGCCACCCGCCGTAAAGACAAGCATCGCCCTGTCTGGCCGTGGCAGGTGTGTCAGGAGCTTCGGTTAGCAATGCCTTCTTTTGTTGGGCACTTTCTAAGTGTTGATTATGTAAGAAGTTTTATGTTGGAAATCTGGCTTCTTCTCAAACCTTTATTCGAAAAAGCAGAGTCAAAGGAATATGTAAACAAATAAGTCAAATAAAGGAGGCAAATACAGTACAGTAATGATGTGATAATGGGCTGTTTAAAGTTGAGTCACTCAGCTTGCCTGAGGACAACCTTTGTCTTTCTCCTTTTCTGTTCAAGCTGTTATTTAGCTGCAATATTATCTTGCTACAAAGAAGCTAATTATTAGAGACTCAAAAAGTGGGAGTTTGTTGTGTGACAGTTTTTCTGTCCTCTCTCATTAAAAGGGTACCAGATCTGGCTTCCTAGGAAGATAAATACTGTATAAATAATCTGTTCTAGTATTTCTCATATGGAATTTGATCAAAGACTAGTTTTTTCAAAGGAGTTGGGTGGTCACGCTTTTATCATCTTCAGTAGAAACCGTGGCTTATTCTGATCTCCGACTTTGAAACCCTACGGAGATGCACAGAGGGCGACCTCAAGTGACAGGAGCACTTGCTTCTTACCTCCATCTCTCACTGTTGCTCCTTTTATGGAGTCAAAATTGTTACCACAGGAGTCCAACGGTTCCTGCCATCTCTTAAAAACAGGGAAGTCATGCTGATTTTGTGGCTATGGAAAATGCACCCTAAGATAGTTAAGTACTGTACCATCAAAAATAAGTGACACTACCAGACTGCAGATTTTTAGCTTTGTGCCAGCCCAGTAAGACACGATTATGTGGTTACGCTTTTGTCTTCAAGGAATTTTCCTGCTGCTAAATCACACACACGTGAAGAATTCATTCTTTTGGTTTAATACTAGTGTCTTTTAAAACATTCGTTTCCTCTGGCATACTGTGGGACCAGTCATTCGCATTCTGAATTAAAAACAAGAATGTTGCTATTTATCGTTTGTAATAATTCAAATAATTTGCCGAAGATTGAGCGTCCCTTTCAGGACCGCCGTGACTAATTGGCATTCTTGAACTCGTAGCATCTGCCGAACTATTGTCAAATTAATGTTTCCAGTTCCACTCGTGAATGTTACCTCTTTAGCTGGATGGTTTTGCCTTATATTTAGTATGTAAAGTGCCAGCAAATAGATTCATTACACAGGACTCAGTGAAGTAGAAATTCATTAGATTTTTTTCACAAGACTTTTACCAAAATCTTAAAGATAAGTTTCTGATATCTTAGGTTTCTCAGTCATCAGTTGCATACTCGCTGTCTTACTCTGTGTGTTTAGCGTTGTTATTTCAATCTGGAGAAAGGAGGTTAGTAAGTACTAAGTTTCCAAACAGTCTGTGGAGATAGAGTTCTGTTTCTCACACGTCTGGGTGGCAGAGGTCAAGGCGACGGTGAGCCGTTGCTGGTTCATTGCAATTTGGGGAACTTCTGTACACACAGTTCCTCGAATGCCTTTCTTCCTTTATGCTACGTCCGTCTAAGTTTACTGGGGTCACTGGCAGAGAAAATACCACCTTGCTCAAAGCTGTTGACAGACACAAATATTAAGTTGACCAAATGTTTTAGATGGAGGCAGTGAGGAGAACATGCCTTACAGAGAAATCTGTTTGCACTTTTATAAAATTAACATCATCTACTCCCCTCACTATTGCTGATAGTGTGACAGCTTCCCCTGCCATAATCCTGTTCCTCCACGTAGTGGATCGGCGCTACGCGATGCTGGGAATCCAGAAGGTTCGGCAGTGCCCGTGGGCACGGTGCAGCGTTTCCGTCTCTGCTGGGCTCTGAGCGGCGGTGCTCATTCTAAGGGGTGAATCAGATCAGACCCATCCCTGAGAGCCAGACTGGCGCTGTGTCTTCTGTCCACATTCACGTTCCTAGAGTCTTTGCTCACGGGGAGTGCCACGTGGCCACAGTTTTATACTCATAATTGCCTCTTTTGTGTAAGTAGGGCTTTCGTTTAAATTGTTGCCCCGTGTTTGTCACAAACAGGAGCATGTGTCAGTAAGAGCTTCTGTACAGGTGTGTGAATGAGAGCTTTTATTCTGCAGGCCCTTGGCTCTTTACAGACGTGATCTCACTGTCCCTCTTTGTCCCTGATAGAGAACAGGTAGGTGGGGACTCTGTTATCATTCTGCATTCAAGAGGAGAAGGGACTTCCCAGGTGCTGGACTAAGCCTGCGCAAGGAGAAAATAGCGTGGCTTAGCCTGGGGTGTGGTGCCTCGGTTGGTCTCCGATAAATTGATGTCTAGTATTTCTTGATTAAAGAAAACCATTGCAGAAGCAACAGAATTCCCTGAGTTTTAAGGAAAAGTTTGTAATAAACGTAGCTGTAATTTTTCGTGTGTGATCCACAGCATTTTAGACAGTTTTCAAGTCAAGACAGTGTTTAGATGGTAACCAGTCAAAAAGAACCCAGCAGATGGAGGCTGCAGCGGCCTGTGCAGACGGCGCCGTATTCCTGTCTTCTGTTGTCGGGAAACAGGCAGGTGGGGGCTTCTCATTCTCCGCAAGAGAACAGAGACCTGAAGGGGCCGGGGCATGCCCAGGACATTGTTATCGGGCTCCTTAGGGTCCAGTGTCTTAGCGGATGCCACAGAGAGTCGCATCTGGTCCTGGGCGAGTATTCCTGGCACATCAGTAGGAGCGGCCTCCGTAGTGTGCCGTGACTGGGTCAGGATTCTGCTGAAACATCTCTGCCCCAGGGGCGTCTCGGCCCTGCTCGGCCCTGGCTGGCTCTGCGCTGAGTGCTACACAGCCTAGCTGCCTTTGTTATTTTATTTTTCAGAGAACCCAAATATGAAGAGAATGTAATAATAGAATAACATTATCTATTTTCCTTTAAATATGTGCTCAAGATACATTTTTTTTAACTTGACAGCTTTGGCTTCATAATAAAATTAAGTTAAAAAAATAGAACTGGCATACAAAAACTCAGTTTGTATATCTTGGGCCCTTTTATGTATTAATTCATATATGACATTCTTGCATATAACAGATACCTAAATGCCAACATGTTAATGAGTTTGCACACTGTGGTGTGGTTGTGGTTGCCCTCAGATTTCACCGAATGTGAGAGGAGGAGAAGCAGAGGACTTTCAGTAGTTAGAAAAAGAATTCTCTGGTTGCTAGGTGGGCACTTGATCTCTTAAGCCAGTGTTGCACTCTGGAGATTTGACTTTCTGAAGTCTATCACAAGACTGACCTAGAGTCGTACGTGATGGGAAGGATGCTTGCAAGATTATTCAGTAGCTTAAAAAAAGACCTCCTGGGATGTAGTGGTGGTTGAATCTGGAAGATTTTACCTTCCAGATGCTTGTGTGTATGTTTAAGACGTTTCTGTCCCCAGCCACCTGAATATTATTTCAAATGGCAAGTGACGTACTGTTAAAGCCAGAGTAGACAGACCGGTAATGTTTTGCACAGTTGGGCTACGTGTGTATACGCCGCAGTACTGAGTGTGGGAAGCCGGTCATGAACTGTTTACTGGCAAAGGTTTGCCTCTGGTGTGGATTTTTGTGAAGAGTTCTGGTTTCAGTAATTGTTTGCTGTGAATAGCATCTTTTTGTTTTTAATTACAGAAATCATCATGAAGGGAGATCATTTCTTTGTCACCAGATACCCTTATTTCCTAATGATTTGCTACTCTTCATTTACCAACATTTACCAAAAGTGGGTGCCATTTGGGAGAGCAAACCCACAACCATTCTACACCAACTCCAACACAGAATTACTTTTACAGGAAAACAAACTCAGTTGCCAAAACTTTGCTTCAAAAACTTACAATTGCTTTCTTCCCTGGTACCTCCCCTTTTCCAAACACTCCATTTGGGTTTCCAACTCTAGCCTTACACGCTAACCCTAAGCCCTGTCCTCTGCTTTTAACACAATTTCCTAAGGTGTTTTCTGAATGGCATTAGTCCAGTGAGATATGCTTTCTGAAAAAAACAGGAGGTCCCATATTAAAATAAGTGTAAGAAACACTGTATTCTGTTCCTCTTCCCTTGGGGTTCGCGGCGCCCATCTGCTGACCCCGCCGGGCTCACTGTGGCCCTGTGCGTCCCCGGCCCTCCCAGAGGTCTTCCCACAGCCTGCGATTCCTGCCATTTGCGCCCCGCTGGGAGCCACTCCTCCTAGGTCCGACTGACCCCACTGTCTGACCCACCATGCGCTCCCGCCAGCCCCTGACATGTCCTTCCTTTTGTTCTTTTCCTCCCTCTCTGCCATCCCACCATAAAAATCTCATTTTGTAAGTACCGTGACTTAGTTTTGTTCAACATTGTATTTCCGCACCTAGAACAGGGCTGAGGACTGAAAAGGCAGGCAGTGAGGGTTATTCGCACATGCTGGGAAACTCCAGCCGAGACTCCTTGGCATCTTTTTAAACCCCTTCCTCCCTTTCATTGGGTTTCCCGCGCCAGCCTCTGCCTGTGATTCACTTCCACGCTGGGTGCTTTCCGGGGCCTCTCCAGAGCCCCTCTCACTGTGCCAGGCACTGCTCCGAGTGCGTAACACACACGAGTTCATTCCTTTTCCAAATAACCCTGTGAGACACATGCTGTTAATAGCCACATTGTACAGAGGGGGAAACTGAGGCACACAGTCACTAGGTAACTAGCCTAAGCCACACAGCTTTTAAGTGGTTAAAAAAAAAAGGGATTCTCACTTCTGTGCCTTTATTCACGCTGACTCTGAATTCCTACCTCACTCCCTCTCTGCTTGACCCATCCGCATCCTCTCACGTGCCCTTACGAGCCAAGTACATTGAGAACTGCTGCCCAAGTAAGAGGACCGACTCTGTGCGAGCAGACAGGTGTGTACCTGTCCAAGACAGCTTGCGGCTGTCGTTCTGGAAAACCCAGTTCTCTGCCCCTCTCGGTGCGATGATCGACGCTGCCCTTCCCACCTGTGCCGGGAACGCGGCTCTCGGCGTAGCCTGCCGGCAGGAGCTCGCGCTGCCTTCTGTCATCAAAGGCTGCTCATTCACACAGTCGCGCCGCGGGTTTATGTGGCGCACAGGGTCATGATGGGAACTGGTGTGTCCCCAGTTGGGTCCGCCGTAACAGAGAGCTACCTACCGTTACTTTTACCTTTCAGGTGACTTCAAATCCTAGCTCTCCTAGTTCTCAGATGCAAGGCTGTAGTCGGAAGCAGCACAGAGCTGTACTTCCAGAACTGTAATTTCTACTCGTCCTGAGCCTGACTCCGTACGTGTGGTCTGACTGCAGATGGCTCTGACACAAATGCTGACTGGGGAGGAGAGGTCGGAAGTGGAGAGAGAGCGCATCCCTTCACTCGCCCCAGAAATATTACGTGTCTGTTAACAAGCACTGGGATTAACGAAAGAGCCATGATGTTAAAAGCACACGTAGGAATAGCGTGATAGGGGCTGCGAGGAAGAGAAACATGGGACAGTCACGAAAGGGGCAGACTCAGTCAGGGACGTCCTTTCGAAGAGACGCTGAACTGAAGGCTGGGAGGTGACCCCGGGAAGAAGCGCAGGAGCGGGGAGGGCTCCAGGCTCAGGGAAGCTGGCAAACCGTGCACGTTTCCGTCCAAGGATGGCATGGTACTAAAAACTGAGGTTGTAAATAATAATTCCTACGGCTCTTACTGTCAGCATATCTCAGGTTCACTGCCCGCTCCCCTAAATACCAAGATCAATTCCAAGTAAGTAGGCTACGACTTAAAGTTTGCTCAGAAGCAGGTGGAGGGGGGCGGAGGGGACGGGTGAATTCACACCTAACGTGTACAGTGCGCACTGCCTGGGGGATGGGCATGCTTATAACTTCCACTCAAACAGTAAACAAGAAATTTACGCAACCAAAACGCTTGTACCCCGTAATATTCTGAAATTTAAAAAAAAAATACCTTTAGTCATGCACTAACACTGGTTTCTTCTTTATCTTAAAAAAATAATAAAGTTTGATTAACTATTTCTTAGATGTTACAAACACAGGATATGACAATATTTTATTTCTTTAATTTGTTTCTGTAATGTCAAAGTCTAGTGTCATCTTATTTGAACTTCAGGGGCAAATGACTAAAAAGGACAAACCTGGAAAAACAGGTTTTATCAGTTAGGATATTTTCCACTGTAGCCATCAGAAGACTCAACTACAAGTAGATTAAATGTCAAGTAGGGTTTTCTGACCTGACTTACAGAACAAGTCTGGGGGGCCCGCTCCACGGTGGGTTAACACGGCACCCCAGGAGCAGTGTCGGGGCCGCGCTCTCCATCCCAGCCTGTCACACCGCGTGTGACCGGTTCTCCTCACAGTCCTGGGTGGATGTAGCAGGTTTGGCCTATTTCTGACACTGGTAGCCAGCGAAGAAGGGGGGCATTTCTTCCTATGTTTCTTCTTAGACACGGGAAACTGTTAGCCGGAGCACCTCGCCCTCTCTCCCAGCTCCGTCCCCCCAATCCTGGGCCAGAGCCATGCCGTCCTTCCCTGATACGCACACTGAAGAGTGAACGCCCAACAAAACCAGGAAAAGTTCAGCTAAGAAACAAAGGGGTGTGGACGAGAGGAGAGACTGGCAGGGTTAGGGTTAGGGTTAGGGTTAGGGTTAGGGTTGGGGAGACCGGGAGCGGGGGCCTCGGGAAGACACAGGTGACGGACGAGGGCTGGGTGCAGAGCTGCCGCGGGGTCCCCGCCGCCCGCCGTCTACTGCCTATTTAGCGATAGTTTTGTTCCCAGCACTGGTGGGTAAATAGTAAGAAGCTGAGAGTTGGGAAACCCAGTGCTGAGGTACATCCTTAGCCTTCTGGTGCTTTCTACCGCATCAGTGAAGTGGTATAAGCACATAATCCCTTGACATATTTGCAGTAAACTTTTAAACTTAGAAATAGCTTATCATGAAATATATAAATAAGGAAATAGGTACAATGTATATGTATAGCTTAATAATAAAACGGAATTCTTACCTATTTCTAGTACCTTGAAGCCCCCATGTGACCCTCCCCAACTGCATCCACTACTCTCCCTGAGAGGTAACCACTACCCTGAATTTCTGAGTAAATCGTACTCTTCTCTCTGTGGTTTTACTTTATAGTTTCCCTAGGTTTGTCTCTCAAGCTTTTGCATGTATCGGAACTCACCGAGAGAGCTCGCCAAAACACAGATCGCTGGACCTCGACCCGGAGTTTCTGATTCAGTGGTCTGGAGTGATGCCAAGAATGTGCATTCCTCACAAGTCCTTGGGTCATGCCGACACAGGACCACGCTTGGAGAACCACTGCTCTCGCAGCAGACCGTTTAGCTTTGGCCCATTTATAAACGGAAGCGTATTATATATTGTTTTCTGTGACTTGCCCGAATTTTAACTCAGATTTTTTTCCTGGAATTCAACTTTGTTGGTACAGGTGGCGCTGGGTCATGCATTTCCCCGTTGTCTAGTGTTCCATTTCTCTTCCATCTCTGCCCACTGCCCTGGGAGGGAAAAGAAGAGAAACAGGAAGCAACCTGCTCAAGGCGCCAGTGAGTGACTCCGTGCCCATCGAGCATCCAGCTCCGCGGCCTGCCTCACAGGGCTGCTTGAAAGGAAGGGCTCCGAGGTGGGGCCCGTCCCAGGAGCCCTCGAGGATAAAGCAGACCTTACGTCACGTAACACTGGCCTGCCCATATCAATCAGGATATGAGGGGATGGTGACAAACTTAATATTCCCGACATTGCTGTGTAGTATGTATTTTTATACCTGTTTCACAGGAGATGTTTCAAAACTTGCCCAAGGTCACAAACCCAGTACACGGTAGAGTCCGATTTCAGACCTAGGTCTGAGGACAGATCACATGATTCTTCCACTTTACATTGCTGCCTCCCCGGACGGAAACACAGGCCCTCCCCATCAGCATTTCCCTAACCGCGAAGGCACATGCCCCGAAGGTCTCCGAGCTTTCCCTGAAACCCAGTTCCAGTCGGTGTGACGCGAACTGCTGAAGCCAGCGTTCGTGTTCCCCCCCGCAGCTGCGCTAGAGCAGAGCGGAGCGACGCGGACACCGGGCGCCGTCTCTGGTGGCCCCGAGTGTCTCACCGGGATTTACTGCCCGAAGCTGACTGCACTGCCTGTGCTTTGTCCCGCAGGGGGTTTCCGAAGAAGGCCGGCAGAACCGCTAGGATAGCCTCCGACGAGGAGATCCAAGGCACAAAGGACGCCGTCATTCAGGACCTGGAACGGAAACTGCGCTTCAAGGAGGACCTGCTGAACCACGGCCAGCCGGTAGGGGAGGCCCGGCCCGGGCCCGGCGGGCTAGCTCTGCGCCTCGGAGCGCTCTTCCCTCGCTTCTCCGCGACCTCGGCTCTTTAGATGTGTCCACAGAATTATTTTGTCACTGCTGAATCTCAGCGCTCCTCTTGGTGTTATGGCTCGAATCTGGAGCAGGGGGACGTGAACCGGCTCCTTCTGTGTGGTCCTCACGGCCTCCTCCCGTGCACACAGCCAGGAGGGAAGACGAAGTGGAGAGGGAGGAAGGAGGAAGGGCGCGTAGTAGGTTTGGGAGCAGAACAAATGAGTGACGCCATGTTCTAAAGCAAAGGGACCGTGGGGATGCCATTCCGGCTGGCTGCGTGTGGGGACGGAGGGGACGTGTGCGCTTCAACGGTTCGTATCTCTCCAGCCGCGGTGACTGGAGTTCAGGTACCAAAAGGAGAACCTGGATTCTGTGGCATGTTTTCCGTCTACACAACCAACACCTTTCTAGAGAAACTACTGCTGGATCTCAGTTCTGTTCTACCAGATACTGAGCCAGTGTCTGAAAGGGCAACGCCTGTCCTCCCGGCCGCGCACCGACCAGGCCCAGCCCCGCGCAGCTTCCGCGCTCAGAGATCGGGCGCGTCGAGGGTGGCGTGGCCGCAGACGGTTCTGCGATCTGGTTCCAGTGTGTTAGAGCAAGATGACTAAGCTCGAGGAAAATATAATTATGTTTTAAGGCTACAGGATTGTAGAGGACATAAATAGATCTGGTAAAAAAATATACATATGTGAGATGTTTTCACCATTGGACTTAAATGTTTCCTCATCAGTTTTGTTTTTGTTTTTTGCTGGCCCTTTTCCTACTACATCGGAGTATTTTAAAGGGAAAGGAAAAGCAAGTCCAGCAAATAAGATTTTCCAGGTAAAGGAGAGGCGCCTCTTGTAGCTTTATTATGGAATTGTAACCAGAAAAATTTGCCTGGCTCTTAAGTAGAAGAAAAGGACCTCTTTGTATAAAATCTCCTTCTCAAACACCTTTTTCAGAGTAGAAAGCTCGCTATGTTGATTAGGTTTTCTGGGAATTTTAATTACCAAGCACTGAAAAATAAAAATGTAAGAACAGGCCACATCTGATTGAAAAGGCAGAGAATAGGAAGAGGGGTGTTGAATTCTGATTTTAATTATTAAGGCATCTTAATCTGATTAAGGAAGATTAAAATTCTAATGAGTTCTGTGTTAGCTACTCATTTCACTGAGTATGGAAGATTTTCACAAAGAGAAAATATTTTCTCCTTGAAATAAGTGATTGCATGTGTAAATGTACATACTTTGGAAGTTTTCCCAGGCTCTGTCAACTAAAGCCTTTAAAAGATTAAAATAAATACTTATGGGAACTGTTTCAAGCCAGGTAAAGGCATCTCTCCAGCTTTTTTCTTTTTAGTTTATTTAAATATTCCTTATGGAATAAGATTTTCTTGGTTAAGCTAAGGCTTTTATAAGCTATTATTCAATCACACTATGTATATTATATGTATATTTATGTTGCATATTTTATGTATCTCTTATATATAAGTATATAATATTTATATTTGTCTGTTTAGCAGTGAATAACATTCACAATAAGTTCCATAGATATCCACATTTGAAAGCCTAAAAGGACAAGAAAAGTAAGGTTGCTCTTTTTAGAAAATGGGATTTTCAAACAACTTTTTCCTAATGTTACATATTATTCTCCTATTTTTGGCTTCTGTAGACAAGGGCTTGTATATCCACATGGCAGAGATTTAGAAATAAAACTGTCTTAGTAAGAACTAAGTTTAAAAAAAAAAACTGAAGTAAATTTGGCTCCTAAGGGTAGCAGGTGAAATAATAGAGAGAAAATTGATGTTTCTGCTTCTGAGGAGCAGGGTGGAAATCGCTGCAGGCCTGCCTTTCACGCTGATACAGTTCTCCATGAAAACATCAGGAAAGCTTTTTAAGAGAGTCGGTATTTAAAACTCTCTTTGAATATTGAATTCACTGATTTTTTAATAGACGTGAGAAGGTTAGTTTGAATACTAGCATACTGGACTGTGATGCCCCACACACCTCTCAGACACCGCCTCTACCTCTTCTTGCCCCCTGCCCTTTTTTATTAAATGAACTAATTTGAACTTCAGGACTATTTGTCATTTGGCACTGGACTTGTTTCACTTCCCGGTTTCAGCTGGGATTGGAACCAGCAATTACTGGAAATTGTAAATTTACCCAGCATATTTTCCTGATTAGAGACTTTCCAATAGAATTTGCATCTACATTCAGAAGTTGGGAAGTTTATCTGAAATGGCTTCTGTACATTTTTAAGATTCCGCTGTACTAACTATTCCCTACTTCTAATCAATCACACACTTGTTTATAAAATGCCCCTGATGGGGTAGATGGTTTCTGAAAGCTCCTCCCAGACCCATGATTCCAAGTCACTTTAGAACCAGCACTCAAGAGCAGGAATCGCCCCAACACACAGAACACAAATGTTGGCATTTCTCGTGTGTAAGAACGGCCTGGCAAAAACAGTTTGGGCCGAATCCAAGCGCTGGTTGCCAGTTACACACACGCTACCCTGTGTTTGCCGAGTGGGAAAGCCGTCTGCCTCTGCGCAGTCCTGAACTGTGGACGTTAGCCCTGGCAGGTGTCTCAGTCCCGTCGCTAACTCAGCCACGTGCAGTTGTTCTTTGTGGGTGATCACATTCGCCTTCGTTCACCCCCAGCAGCCTGGGAGGTGCTTTTAGGGATGAGAACCTCAAAGCAGAGAGGATAGTCCCTGCTAGCTGCTCTAAACATCCCTTAGCGGACAGTTACTGAGCATGTACTACGTGCCAGACACTGCTAAGCGATGGATGGAATTATGTCCATCTGCGATAGCTGTTCTTGTCATCTTCCTGTTGATCAGTTTCTTCTCCTTTGGAGGATCTTTCTGTTTTTCCTGTTGGCCTTGGAGCTGACTTGGCTGTTCTGAAGCCTACGGATGGCTATAAAAATAACATTCCCTTTAAATTGTACTGTGCTGTTTGCATGTCTTTTCTCCTCTATGTTTTTCATTAAAGATAAGGATATGACACGTGTTTTCTACGTGGCTTCTGCTTTGTGGCTTATTGCTCGCTTTAAGTCAGCGCGGTGTCGGTCGACGCTGTCTGCGTTGGGCGGTCAGGACCGGGGGGAGGTGAAGGGCAGACCCCAGAATGAAGGGAACGAAACAGACGCCTTTTACACACGGGAGTCTGAAGCTGGAGGGAGAATAGTTAATGACAGAAAACATCAAAACTTGTTTTGTTTTTTACTCTTTTTCATAAGGCCATATGTAGTTGTGATTTTTTTTTCTAATTTTGTCTTTTTGTGACTTCTTTTTCTAGAAGCTAACATACGAAGAAAGAATGGCTCGCCGACTGCTAGGTGCCGACAGCGCGACTGTCTTTAACATTCAGGAGCCAGAAGAGGAAACAGCTCATCAGGTATTGGGTGGCTCTGCATTTCCTAGAAAAGTAACAATTTTCTCCTTTCCCCGTACTTTTCGAGGACGCTATTCTTGGGATCAGTTCTGTGGAAAGTAGAAAGCAAGGCACAGAACCCTGTGTTAGTATCAGTCAGCCTTATAGCTAACATTTATGGAGCACAGACTGTGTACCAGATGGTGTGAAGTCCTTGATAGAATTATTTCCTGTTCTTTTTATCTTCTTATTAATTAGTTTGTTCTCCTTTCAAGTTTTTCCTGTTTTTCCTTTCGTGTGCTTTAATGCAAATTAGTTCTCAATGACATTGTTTGAAAGAGCTAGTATAGCTTTCCCGTTACAGTTGACCCCTGAACAACGGGGGTGGGGGCACCAACCCCCTGCACGGCTGAAAATCCACATAGAACCTGTGACTCCCCAGACAGCCTCCTGGTGACCAGAGGCCTTACCAGTAACATAAACAGCTGATTGACACACATTTTGTATGTTATATGTATTATGTACTGTATTAATAAAGTAAGCTAGAGAAAAGAAAATGCTTTTATGAAAAACATAAGAAATAGAAAACATATTTACTATTAAGTGGACTGGATCATCATAAAGTTCTTTATCCTCATCACCACATTGAGTGGGCTGAGGAAGAGGAGGATGAGGAGGTTCAGGGTGACAGAGGTGGAAGGTAATCCATGTCTAAGTGGACCCTCATAGTTCAGACCTGTCTTCTCCAAGGGTTAACTGTGCATTTTTAACATCTAGTCAAAGTAAAATACCTCTGTACAGAAAAAACTATGTCTTTATCTTCTTTTACATATACACAGATGCTCCTTAACTTAGGATGGGGTTGCGTCCTGAGAAACCCATCGTAAATTGAAAATATTGTAAGTCAAAAATGCATTTAATACACCTAACCTACCAAACACAGCTAAGCCTCGCCTACCTTAAACGTGCTCAGGACACTTACGTTAGCCTACAGTTGGGCAAAAACATCTCGCACACAGCCTATTTATAATAAAGTGTTGACTGTCTCATGTAAGGTATCGAATACTCTACGGAAAGTGAGAAGCAGAATGGTCGCAGGGTACTCAGGAGACGGTTTCTACCAAATGCCCGTCACTCTCGCACCGTTTTAAGTCAAAAACGCGTAAGCGGGAGACCACCTGTGGTCATGAGTCAGTGATCAGCAAGGACCTGCAATGCTGTTTGCGCCTCTGCTGCCACCAAAAACGTCACTTCATGGGTTTGATACAAGCTGCTTTATAATCTCTACTGCTTCCTTTTGGAGTTTCCAGACTCAGTCTCAAGCTAAAAGAAAGTTTTAAAACAGGTTTAAAGGATCAAGTAAACTCTTTCTCATGTCTGTTGTCATCCTTCAAAACCTGAAGGTTTTTCTGTGCTAAATACGGCTGCCACAAACGTTTCACTTAAGGAAAACTAGAAACCTTGCTACGTTATTATTTCTATCATTAGTCTTCACTTCTTTTTTTCTACCGTTACAGGAAATGGGGTCTCCTCATGCTTCTGTAGGGAATCCTCTGGATGGTCAAAAGGTTACGCTTTTCACCTTTCTCCTCTTTCTGTTCTTTCCCTGTGTCCGTTTTCTTCCCTTCTTCCTTTTCGCCCTCGTATCTGTCTTTACTGCCATGTATTATAAATGCTACGACTAGTGTCTGTTTTCGTGTAATATCAGATGAACAAAATTACTGGAATATGATTTTTCTTGTCATTTATTTACAAACTTGAATTTAATTCGGTCAATAGTAGATGCTCTGAACTTTTAATCATTCAGCTTTTCCTTTGTTATACCTTTCTAGGAGAAAAAAGTAGTAATTCTTAAATTGATTAATTTGATAGTAATCAGACAAAACAAAATAACTTGTATTTTTTGTAGTGTTATTCATACCATTGTATTTCTTCCTTCAAACCAACAAACTTTTTGAAGGATTAACTTCCTTAAAGTACAGTTAAAATTATCTTTTGTTTAATACTAAATAGAAAATATTTTACAATGGGCTACCTTGTCTTCATTACACTTTGCAGGCAAAAAAACAAAAAAAAAAACACTATAGGATTCACTTGAATCACATCATAGGATGTTGATGTGTTCTTTGCAGTTTTTTTAGCCAGAATTTTGACTGGACTGTCAGTTCTACTTTTCTTCTGAACTGAGTGGGTTCCTAATAGCTGCAGAGCTAAGGAGAGCCCCTGTGAGGCAGGAGACTGTTACAGGTGAAAAAAATAGTGGCATTTTTTCCATTATTCTTCTGCTAAAATTCTACGTAGCATTGCAGCTGCTTGCCACGTGTACCGTTAGCCTCTGGAGAGATGTGCCGCCCTGCAGCAGCTTTCGTCCTGCAGAGGGAAATCAACATCCCACTGTGTTTCATTTTTGTGAACAGTTTGGGAACGCACAGCCTTTGCATTTGCCTTTCTCTGTCCTTCTCCCTCTTCCCCTGCCCCAAAAAAGGAAAAGAAAAAAATACTCCTCTTTTGGGGTTTTCTTCCCCCCTTTTTTCTTTCTTCTTTTTCTTGGATGATAGGGCTTGAAGACAATTTGAAATACCACATATACTCACTTCCAGATGTTTTTTGTTTTATGTGGAATTGAACTGGGCTCAGACCATGTTTCTAAGCTCTGTGGTAGAAATAGCCCTGTGTTCTCAGTGCCTTACGGGAGAGGGGCTAAGAGTCATGAGATGCATCGTACCGCAAGGCACTGAGGCTGCTCGCTGGCACTTGGTCTGATCTAGGAATACAAAGTCTCCAGCTGCGAACAGAGGCTCATCAGTGAGATCGAGTACAGGCTGGAAAGGTCTCCCGTGGATGAGTCGCGGGATGAAGTTCCTTACGGGGAGGCACCTGTGGAAAGCGGAGTGGCACCGTTCTTCGAGACGAAGCTGAAGCACTACAAGATCTTCGAGGGAATGCCTGTCACTTTCACATGTAGAGTGGCTGGAAATCCAAAGCCAAAGGTGAGCCAAGAAAACATAGTGGAAATTTGAGCTTTTTAAGAGTCATTTTCTGAGGAAGAGTTTAGCTTCCAGAAGGTAGCACGTATGGTAGGAGGGAGAGATACAGATGACGTTTCTCAGCACCCACGACGGAAATGTTTTAAGTACCTTTGAGCTCAGGGCCATCTTCGGAAGGCGTTAGAAACCAAAAGGGGTGGTGTGGGGAGTGGAATCTGGGTTTGAAGAATAGAGTACAATCAAAGGGACCCCACATAACGGCAATGAATAATTAACAAGGAACTTTCACACCTATATTATTCACTCCTTACAGTTAGTCCCAAATTGCAAGTGACTAAACTGAGCTCTGTGTGGTTGGTTAACTTTGCCAAGGTCGGAGAGCTGGAGAGTGGCCGGGCTTGGATGTGAGCCCATGCTCTGTACACACACAGAATTAACCACTGGGTACAGAAACTTCAGCTCTCTAATGTGCAAAACCAGGGCTTCCTATGTACACCAAGGGAGGTGGGTAAGGAACACAGCTCAGGACGGACGATCACATTTCCGATGCCCTGGAGGGCTAGGCTGAGCGTTGGGAGCCCCGGCCACACAAACAGCGGATGTGCCGGGTAAGGAGCCGCCCGTCTTTAAAGGGAGGACTAGAGGAACTGCTCACTAGCTAGCCCCACAAAGCAATCCACAGGAGCACGTTCTCCCCAGAACTCGAGTGAAAAGAATAAAAAAGGCGAGAAATTGAAACCCTCAAATTACACTATCACGTGATATAGAGCCAAAAGTTCAGAAATTAATACAAAATTTAGTTCTGGTCGATTAAAATCCTTAGAAGCAAGCAAAAAGTGTCCGATATACTTGCACCGCTCGAGGCGTCTCAGACTTCGACAGAGTGGAAGGGAGGAAATGCAACTGAACATCAGTTCATGATAAAAACTCACAAACCACGAGGAAATAAACCACCGTGAAAGTCAACAGTGCAAGGAACAGGAAAACAGAGGCCGAGTACTGCACAATATTGAACAATGTTAAAGAGGTTCTAAAATAACTATATTTAAAGTAATGAAACAATTTAAAAAGGAATAGAAACTATAACGAAAGAACAGGACAGTACCAAAACTGTAGATTTGTAAAATAAGCATATAGAAATGAAAAATACTCACTGAAATTAAAAGTTTAACAATGGTGTAAAAGAGCTGACATGAGAGTCAGAATGGAAGAAAGGAGAGTGGTATGAAGATAACTGACACTTTCAGGCATTAATTTCCTACAGCTCCATGCACTGCTTTGTTTTCATAATAATGTACATTTTACCATCATATACTTTCCTTAAAACTGAATTCCAACCTCATAGTCAGAGAAAGATAAAGAAAAATAGCCTTAAATTTTCAAACTTTTATCCACTTCTAATAAAATGGGACTTTCAAAATAAAGTCTATTATTATAGAAAACTTCTTTACCATATTCTTGGCATAATTTGGATAATAGCTATGTATTCACAGTATGATAGCAAATGTATTAAAAATAAAGTTGCAGCTTATGAATGAAATTTGATAAGAAATTATATCTTGAACTTCTAAAACATTCACAAAAAGACTCCATTTTTAAACCATACTCAAGGCTTAAGATCATTGATTCCTATTCTCATAGAATACTGCGGTTCACTTGAAAGATGGGCTTTTGTTTTTTCCCCTCATACGAATTCAAATGTTTCACAGGTTTAAGAGGCTTAATTATTTCAAACTTTTTATCGTCAGATTTTCCTCTTTCAGCCTTCCTTCTGCTCTCTCACCCTTCTTCCCTGGTTTGTTACAGAACTGTCTACTTCTGCATGTGTTATATAGATTGTACTAGGATTACTAAAGCATGGAATACTCATTAAGTTTAAAGAAATGCATTCTCTTCTTAGCTTCTTTTAAAAAAAAAATTTATTCCTCTCTTGGAATGCTTGTTCTCATTGAGACCTGGGAAGATTGAAAATAATTTCTAGTTTACCTGTTTTCATTCTTGTACCCTTCCCCTCCCCCGCCATTAGTCTTAGTAACAATTTTGGAAATATTTCTTAACTCTTAATTGAAAGTTGTATTCCAAGTTTAAGGGACATTAACAAATATGATTAAAGAAATAACTCTCAAGAACTGGCATGATGGCAAGAATGCAAAAGGAAGAAATTGTGTACTAATTACAACTTCTTTGTTCCATCAGAAATAATCAACCACCACAAAGAACACGACAATTATGAAGTATGATGCTTTATATAATTTTTAGAACTGAAAGTTATTAGTCTAGTTGATGATTAATTTTTACATTCTAGAGATTAATAAAATTTTCTGTAAATTTGGAGCTATCTGAAAATAGGAGTTGGAAAAGTTACAGCAGTCAGATCCTGACAATTCATGCATTTATTTAGTGCTACATATATTTCTAGCCTTTTCCCATCTTAGGTATGTAGGTTTGAAAAAGATTTTTCAGATTCAAATACTTTGACAGAGAGTTGGATTTGAGTGCCAGTTTGTGTTCTCAGTTTGCATATTGATTTACATTAAGGAAGAAATTTATTTTAAAAACTAAAGGGTCTAAAGTAGGTTTCTTTTGCTAGGAATCAGCTAGAAATGCTTTTGGTTGCAAGGAGCAATAATGCCAAAGAACTTGCTGTGGCTTAAAAAGAATGGAGGTTTATTTTCTTATCTAACAGTAAGTCTGCAGGTAGGCTGCTGCAGGTGTTAGTTCAGCGTCTCAGCTCTGTTGGGGCTGCGGGCACTGCGGTTCGTTGTACTGGGCTCACCTTTCACCTGCAGTTCATGGGCTAAATCCAAAATCATAGCGAAACATCAGACATCCCTGGACTAATGGCTTTGTGTAAAGGTGAGGGAAGGGAAGAGGATCTGTAGAAGTAGTTGGACCACTTTAAAATGTTTATTTAATCAAAATTGACGTTTACTTTAATTATTTTTCACATTTAATTTTTTATCAACCCAAATTATAGATCTGAAAATTATTGTACTTTTCAATACGCTGTGTTTTTTCTTTAACATAATGAGGAGAGCTGTCAAGCTTTCAACCTTTGGTCATACGCTGGTTGGTCTAGCATTAAAACAATAGTGTTCCACCCATCACCAACCCTGAGCTGTGACCGCCCACCCTGCTGCCCTCTTACTTGTCAGACACTATTCAGTAGTATGATTAGTTTGAGATCTCTTTTTGTTCTCTAAGATTACCTTTTTACCTTTACTTTACAAGCAATACATTTTAACTGCCAGTACATTTGAGAAAAGAAAGCAGCAAAAAGAAAAATGCCTATAATGCCACCTGACAGAAATAACCACTACCCAAATTCAGTATATATCCCATCATATAAATAACATATAGATGTAATACCATATTAAAAAAAAAGGGTATATAACTTTCTAAATGTAAAATGCAATTGAATTTGTTTGCTACCTGCTTTTTTTCACTCAAAAATTAATTTCCTATTCAGGTATTTGGTTTAACATTTTAACATGAAAACTCAGATCAGATCTGCAGACCACACTGTCACTACTTTCAGTCCTCCAAATAGAATAAGACTATACACACTCTCCGTCTTGTTCCCTTTCACAGATCTACTGGTTTAAGGATGGGAAGCAGATTTCTCCAAAGAGCGATCACTACACCATTCAAAGAGACCTGGACGGGACCTGCTCTCTGCACACCGCAGCCTCCAGCCTAGACGACGATGGAAATTACACGGTTATGGCTGCAAACCCTCAGGTGAGGAGGGTACAGGTCTGGGCTCAGTTCTGTGTCTAGTGCTTACAGGCATTTGATTGGACAGAGGAACTATTTAATTAAAAGGTGAAGTTATACTTCTTTGACTTACGAAATTATTTTTCCAAATTCTACATCCATCTTGGTTTCAGAGGACAGAAAAATTCTTTGTTTCATGAGTCATTTATCCTATCAGGTGTTCGTTCATCTACAGGAATGGACGTTCCTTTCACAAGTGTTAGGGGCCTAATACGTAGGTGGTGGGATCACAGTGATGGACTGGACAAAACCCTATAGTAGAAAATAAGCCAGTAAATACATAAATAATATAATACCAGGTAGGAGTATATGAAGAGAATAATTAGAAAGGGATAGAGAGTGAATGCCGCGTATGGACTGCGGTAGAAAACTCAACAAAGTAAAATATTCTAAAATACACACCCGCTCATCACTAGGATAAGTACTGTATAGGAGTACTTATAAATTATAAATAGTACTTATAATTTGATAGTACCTATATATAGCATTCAGGATTTGTTTTCATCAAAATGTTTTCTCTTGCATTTGCCCTTCAATTTAGGGTCAAAAAATCAATTGTCTTCTTAGAATTTAGGAGGAGGCTCCTGGGTGTCATGTTCCTAATTCGAGCCTACAAATTCTTTCTTATTGAATATTTTATATATTCTAGGCACTGGAATACATGTGGAACACAAAAACAAGTAAGAAGCGACTTTGTACCTTAAGAGCTCAATGTGCGACAGGGTAATTTTTAAAAAGTTAAAATAAATAATTTTATTATATAAGTAATGAAGACTGTCCAGAAGTTCTTTTTTTGTTTTCTTTCCTTTTGAGACAGGGTCTGGCTCCATCACCCTGGGTGGAGTGCCGTGGTGTCATCACAGCTCACTGCAACCTCAAACTCCTGGGCTCAAGCGATCCTCCTGCCTCAGCCTCCTGAGCAGCTGGGATTACAGGCATGCACCACCATGCCTGGCTAATTTTTGTATTTTTTTGTAGAGACCAGGTCTCAGTATGTTGCTCAAGCTGGCCTCCAACTCCTGGCCTCAAGTGATTCTCCCACCTCAGCCTCCCAAAGTGCTAGGATTCAGGCATGAGCCACCACACCCGGTCCCAGAATTTATCTTTTTGAAAATCTCTGATCTATTTATATCATTCCATATTTCATTATTTCTTTCAAAGAAAATACTTAGTGTTAGAAAATGCTATAAATAATTTTTACAAAGCTTACAAACTTTTACAAGTTTATTCTATTCTACTATTCCACTGTTATATATTGTTTCAGCAATAATATTAAAATGAAACTCAAATTAACCAGCTAGTCAGGTTGTGACAGAGCACAGCAAACTCTTCACCGCCAATGAAAAGTTTTCACATTAATGCACATTCTTGAAGCTCTAATTTTTTGATCAGTGAATACATGACCGTCACCCTGAAAGACAGTCAGAATCACCACCTCTACTGAAAAGATGCAGGCGCATTTTAATGCTTATTTGTGTTCAGGTTTGGTCTATTTAGGGGAACAAACTTGCTTTTTTTTTCCTTACTATATTTTCAGTATGTTTTCTTGACTATTAACAAATTTCAACTTTCAGTTTTCTGCTTGTTAAAAAGAAATGGTGGAGAACCCAACAAAATCCAGAGTTTTTCTTCGGGTTGGGCCCTTTATCCCTCTTTGCCCTCGCAGACTGGCGCGTGCTGTGGGGAGGGAAGGGTGCGGCCGCGAGGCCTTTGCATTTCCCAGCATGTGCTGGTGGTGCTAGGAGTCACCGTCTTATCCGACAAAGGAACACGAGCGTACAACTGCAGTCGCGAGTCTGCTCCCACCCTTCCTCAGATGACACCAACGTGTTCTTACACGTGGGAAGTTCCAAAGGGGAAGCACTCCGTGCCCGTGGCAGTGGCAGTGTGAGAGTTTAGACCGCCACCGGCCGCAGGGCCTCTGACCGCTGACCTCTCGCCAACCGCGATGCAGTCCCTAGATAAAGGCAGGCTGCTGAGAGCACCCTGGGCCATCCGCACTGCACCCCTTAAGTGTATAGAACTACAATTTGCCAGTTTAAATTAAATTTTTAAAAATTAAATGTAATCTTACCCAGAGCCCAGTATATAAAGCCAAAAAACAAGAATAAACAAACAAGCAAAAAACCCCATAAAAACAGGAAAAGGAGGAAGGGAAGGAGATGGGAAAGGGAAACAAGACAAAGCCCGGGACCACAGCGCAGCGCAGACAATGCTGAAGGGCCCAGGGCAGGTGGCGGTGCAGGTGTGGGCAGATCGGGGGCGGAGTTCTCTCTCTGCCACTCGTTACCTGTGTGACCTTCAGCAGGACACTTAACCTCTCTGTGCCTGTTCCTTTTCTATAAGAATAATAATGCAGATTTAAATAGTACATGTAAAAAGCTCAGTTTACCTGGCACATAGTGTGCTTTCAGTAAATGCTAGTCATTGCTATTATTTTAATTCAGAGACACTAACCACCCTGTCTCAGAGCAGCATGCTAAGACCTGGCAGGAGCCGTGGAACCAGGACGAGACGGATCCGTTCTGTTTCTAGCTGCTCCACGCCCACGGTGCTGCGGGAGGGCGAGCAAGTCGGTCGGGAGGGAATTTCTGCCCGACACGTTGCTGGTGTGTGGTCCTCTAACGTCCTGGCGTTTCCTTTTCCTGCGCCCATGGGAAAGGAGTCAGGCAGCAGATGTGGCTGTTCCGCGACCGCCACAGCTGTGGGTCTGGGGGGAGCTGGGGGGAGGGAGCTGTGACTAGACGGCCGCCCCCACAGCGCGGCTGACACAGCCACACGTGGAGCTGGGAAGCCGCTCGCCGCTCCCAGCACCCTCGGGCCAAGGGAAGGCCCAGAAGAGTGGCCACGGCCTCCTCCCAGGCCAGTAACTCTGCTGCTTCCCAAATCCCAGGCTGAGCCCCGTGGTTCACCCTCCCTGGTGTTTGCTCCACCCTTTGGAGGAAAGACAAACGAGGAGGAGACCAGTTTACACTGGTAGCCAAAAGCGCAGCCCTCCTACAGAATACCCCGTCCCTGCTGTGGTTTCAGCAAAGGGCATGAGACTGCTCTGGCCAATCCAAAGGGAGCAGAGAAGTTCCTGACACTGCTGTGTCTGCAGGTCAGCTGACCCACCCGGCATTTTATTCGTGATGAAGAGGTGGGGCTAAGAATCTCCTTTACTGAACTAACCAGAGACACGCAAAAGGAAGGGAAGTCCATGAAGAGAGTCTGAGGAAATCCTAAAAGTAGACCTCAAACGGTGTGACGTGTACATCCCACTGAGATGCTGAGAGAGAATTTTGGTATTTATGACGCTTGGCAGTAGTTATTGCAAGTTTCTGAGCATGTTGCCTGGTTGATTTTAACTCCGGAGTGAAACTCCTCCTTTCCCGTCCTGGAGTCTTCAGTAGCAGCTCTGTCCACATATGCCAGATAAAAGTTTTGAGAATCACTGCCTAGAAATTGGAATGAACTTTACTACCTGTTACAAAAACCAAATCGCATTTAAACCGTGGCAAGTGACAGACCCTTTTTCTACCTACCCTTTGGCATAAGTTATCATTTGTTGCTGTAGGAACGCTGTTACAGAAATGTTAACACTGTCATAATCTCAACTTTATGACATCTGTTATCATAAAGTATTTTATTCTTGTAATTTGTGAATTAAAACATGATTTAACAGAGTCATGTCATAAGTAGGCACTGAAAATTTTCCAAAAGCAAAAGCTAAATCTTTCAAGATACGCTAATCCCCGAAGCAGAAGGTGTACTGCACAGAAAACTGCAGCGGACCCTCACTTCCTTGATGCCCTTTAGTTGCCTTAAATCTTCTCAAGTTTTAAAAGCACCGGGGTTCGAAAGGGAGACAACCGAATCTGTTTTTTCCTGGTGCACTGTAGTCTAGATGATGTGAGATGACCCGGGAAAGAGGAAGGGACTGGAGTGGAAAAATTAGCTCAGTGATGAAACGCAGACGGCAGAGCTCTCCCGAGCAGTGGAAAATAATCCTGGAGAGCAGGCAAGAAAAGGGTGAGAACCAAGGAAGGAGGAAAATACTAAAGTTCAGCAGAATATTTTATAGAATATGATCTTTTTCCACCTGGTTTAATCTTTTGGGAATAAGAAACATGTTAGGCATCGCTGACTGCACCAAACTCTGCTTGGATGGAACACACGGCCCTAAGCACGCACCGGGCTCCGCGTCCGACTCCACGTGTGGTCGGTCAGTTCATGGGAGACCAGGCAGCCACGCAGCTCAGCAAACTAACGAGCGGCTGGCTGTGCAGTGTCACCCCAAACACGATGCCAAGAGGAGGCTCACACACACAGTTTATTTTAGACTCTAATCCTATCTTTAAGACCCAACTAAATCTAAACACGAATGTTTTACTTTGTTTTGTTGTGTTGCTAAGTTACTTTGTATTGCACTTGGATTTGGGAATGGCTATTTTGCAGTTTGATGTTTCCTCAAATTGCATTATGTATACAAGTGGCAAGCTTTTATAAAGACCTGTGTGCCACAAGTTAAATTTCATAAACTATGAAATATAAATGTTATTTCCATATCATATAAATAATTTGCCTTGCACAAGGCATCAAATAATCTTTACAAGCTGGATGTTGAATACAGAATCATTTTAAGAATTCAGACTTATTTGTACTATAGCTTTAAACTCTGTGGGTTTGGAATAGAAAAGAACACACAGCTGAGTTAAATATGTTAGTTTGTTGATGGCATTTTGTTTTAGCATTATAAGGTTTCCTGGCTCATTTCAAGCTTCGCTTTAAACATTCACTTCCATCATTCATGTGTTGCTAATAAAGCGGATACAGTGGGAAGGTTAACAGCAAAGGCAAGGCATTAATGTGCGCCAGAGCCCAGTAATCACGAAGATTACCAGGGTTAACAGGCGTGTTAGCATGATCAAAATCATTAATGTTAATGCTGTATGATCTTTCTCATAAATAAGATGTTCAGACTTAAAAACCTGAACTTTCTATTGTACACATTGAAGGTATCTTTTCAAAAATGCTTCACTGAATTCTGGATTTTTTTTTTCAAATTAAAATGTCAAAATTATACAACTTCTTAGTTTGGATGCTTTCTAAATGCTTCTGGTCATGTACTGGTTAGTGATATATTTAGCCAATAACACTATATTAATCAAACTGATAATTCTGCCTCCTGAAGACCACACCACCCCATCACGTTCAGAAGTGAAGGCTGGAATAGGGGTAGAAAGGTGACAAATGGTAACCACATTCTTTTTTCTTAAAATTGAGAACTTTAGGGAACTCTACGGCGATGTTTGCATGTATAGTTCTAAGCGGTGGCAGTGAAAACCCTGCAAATAGTGTAGACGTGTGTGTTCTTTCCAGAGTAGTATGCCCACCTGTTTGCCCTGTTTTTCTTTTCCTGCAGAGAGACAGGGGCGGCAGGGTCTATCTAAGCGTAGGGAATGGTTAGAGGTGGGCAGGCGTCTCTCCCCCCACGCCTCGGAGGCGGCCGCCACACGCGCGAGCACACCGAGTGCACGGGGGCGCGGCGCTGTTCGAGCACCAGAGGAAGCCGAGAACGTTGATTTACTGTCCACGTGTTCTGCCTCCTGCAGAAAGTATTTTGTTTTCCCTTTGGAGTAAATTATATTCTAATACCAAGAAAAAGAGAACTCCATACATATGCAAAATAAAATCTTTGTGCTAAACAAAGCAATTATAAAGGATGCTTCATATTCATCCGGTTGTTACAATTATACTCTTATTGAGTGCTGTAGTAATTTAACATTTTTAGCATTTACTTTGGGGAAAACACAATGCCAAGTACTTTACACGTATTAACTCATTTAATCTTCACAAGAACCCATAACGTATGAATTATTTTACAGAGGAGGAAACTCAGACAGGTAAAGTTAGCGCCTAACATCGCTCAGCTCTGAAGGACAGAACCGGTTTGCAAACGCAGACCGATGCCCGCAGAGCCAGCGCGCCGCACGCTGCTGAGGCCCATCCCGGTATCACGAGTACTGAGGCGCAGGGGAGACGCTGGTTAGAGGAGGTAGCTGAAGGAATAAAAAACGGTAGGAGCCTACCTCCAGTACAGTATCTTCACTTGGAAATTTGTACTGGGGTTAGCCAGGCTGCTGGGGCCCCTGGCAATCACCTTGATGCGTGTCTGCGCATATGTGGGTCACAGAGCCAGCGGTGACTTTAATGATAACCTGAGCCATTACGTGCCATCTGATATCACTAAGGCCATCTCAGGTTATATCATTGAACCTGACAACATCCTTGTGAGATAGATCAACATATCGCATCCCTGTTTGCACAGAGAAGGAAGGAAGGCTCGAACAAATTCAGTAATCTGCCCAAAGTTTTAAGGAAAAGTTGAAACTCAAATCCAGGTTAGAGGATTTCTTTTTTAAACAACCCACATCTGCTTGCCCAAATTCAAGTTTAACTAAGACTACATATTTTTCTAACCACTGAAATGAGTTAATATTCACTATCCTCTTTCACACGACAAAGGGTGTGTCCAGGTTGTAGGTGCGTCCTGTCTGTCCCTGAAGGAGCAGAGCAGGTACGGAAGCCGTGTCCCGCACCAGCACGACTGAAGCTGTTTATGTAAAGCAAAACACATGCTTCCTGTCCTCAGCCTGCGAAGAGAATCATGGATTTCATGTGTTCGTTTGTTAAATCATCTAGTACGACGCATCAGTTGCATAATTTATAACAGGGTCTTATTCTGAGCAAGTCGTATCTAGATTTTCTGTAGCGACTACAGATTAGGAGGGGTTAGATGAAGTTAATTTTTAGATTTCAAGCTGGTTTAGGGAATCCTAAGTGTTTGCTAAGAGCTTAGCATGAGCGAATCTGTATCATGTGGCCTGAGCCTCAGATACAGTCTGAGTTAGAAATAGTTCTTCACAATGTTATACTTCATCTGTCCTTGAAAATTTTTAGGAAACGCAGTGTTTTAACTGTGACCTCGAGCAAACACTGTGACTGCTAGAGTAACCGTGTAATGGTTGCTTCTTTGCGACCACCTCTTTCTATGCGGTGATTCCTAATTTTTCTGTCTGTGCTACATTCCCGTGTCCTTGCCTTTTCTGGGTGGCGACATCCCTAAAGAAGTCCAGGCTTTGGGAGACCCGGAGACCCCACCGACTGTGTTCCTGCCCTTCACTGGCTCTTGCTGTGGGTTTCTCCCTATGTTCCCTGCACTAGTCCCCCGCCCGCCCTCAGGAGGCAGCTCTTCAGCACACACAGAACACCCTGCTGCGGCCACCTGTGTGGGGCCAGCGGCAGGATTTGTTCTGAGTGTAGGTGCGCGCGAGGGCTGTTCATCACCCCTGAGCTGGAACTCGCTAAGTCCAATAATTAGTGAGTCCTGCTTCTCATTTTACCTCTCTTGCTGTTACCCTTTGGTCACTATCAGATTTAGAAGCACATCTCATTCTCTAGGGAGGAGAGGAGAAAGTGGAGGAGAAAAATCATCTGTTTTGTACTGTGCTAGTAACAGTGAAGGGAAAAAATTAAGGAGCTAAAGCAAAAACCAAAGTAACAATGGGTGACTTATCCGTATCATCTGGGTCCCCTAAGTATTACTTCTGTCTATCCGTATATAACAGCATTTATAAAACGTTGTCTTTTTTTGCTTGTATTATTTTTAACTGACACATAAGAATTATATGTACGTATGGGGTACAAGGTGCTATTTCAGTACGTGCATACAGAGCGTAATGATCAAACCGTGGTATTCAGCACATCCATCACTTTTTGTCATTTGTGCTGGGGACATTCAAACTCCAGTCTAGCTATGTGAAAATACACAATAAATTGTTTTTAGTTATAGTCACCCTACTGTGCTGTAGAACACTGGAACTTATTCCTCTGTCTGGCTCTCATATCCATTAACCTACCTCTGGTTGTGCCCCATGAAACTTTAAATTGATAAATTTAAGAGATAAAATATAGCTTTTCATTACACAGGCCCTTATCATATAACCCACGTGTTTTAGGTATTTATCAACTGCTTCTGGCTTTTAAGTCTCAAACATGTTCATTTTATGAGAACGTGGTGTCGGTTGTCATCCCGCGCATGCTTCTTACAAAATGCTCGTTTCTCACGCTGACATCTCTTTTGACACGGGGTTTGGGGAAGGGACGCCACTAACATTAAATAAGTATATTACTGAAAGTACCCGACAGGAAACATCTAGTTCCGATTTCAGAACTGGCCACAACCTGTGGATATGTGACCATGAAAATGGCATCATCCCAAGAGAGTGACGTCCCGCTACGTCTTACAGCTCGCTTCACGTGTTACGGAGACCGTCGCAGACTATGCTCAGCTCAACGAGCGGGTTGTCATTTTAAGTATCATCCCTGATAAAACAGTAAAGCTGACTTAACAGTTCAGAAAAAGACCCTGTCACCAGAGTCCTTTACGTTGTAGAGTTTACTGAGGAACTTAACTTGGGGAAAGTGCTTTTCTGAAAGAGGTTGGTGTCATTGCTGAAACGGCCACTGACTTAATGACACGATGTCTGGAGAACAGGACGGTAGGCGTGGCGGTGCGAGGCGGCTGGCAGTTTGCACAGCGAGTCATTTCCCTCCCGACGTCTCCACAGGGCCGCGTCAGCTGCACCGGACGGCTGATGGTCCAGGCTGTCAACCAGAGAGGCCGCAGCCCCCGCTCCCCCTCAGGCCATCCTCACGTCAGAAGGTATTTCACACGTGCTTTCCCATAGGTGTTACTATTTTTGTGTTTATTTTATTTATCACTGAAATTCAGTGCTCTTAGAATCACAGCGTGGCCACAACAGTGACCATAGCTGGGAGATGGAACGTGAACGTGAACTTACAGCAAGCGGCTCCTTGACTGTCACGCTCCTTTGGCTTTCAGAAAGGGGGCGGGAACAAACACTGGCTGGTACGCGCTCCGCCCGTTCCGACAGGCCATCGTTAGTTTGTTAAATAGGGCACATTTTATATATGGAGAAATACTCAGCACCGTTAAATCGTACATTAACATGAAAATATGAGTAAATGGTACACAAATGTTCAAAACCAAACTTCTTTAACCAACAGCTGTGTGGGCTGACCATTAAAAGCTATTGCCACTAAATTTCTTACAATCAGCTAGTTTGTTAAATGTTCATTTGTCAATCACTTAGTTCAAAACATGAGGCCATTAGACCATAAATCTCGTAAGACCTGTCATAAATGCTCAAATATCTGCTAACAATAGAGTATGCTTCCCATTCCTAGTAGCCCTGAGTCTAACAACGATGCAGACCGAATAACGGTAGGCAGAGACAGAGAAAAGATACTACTTCTTAGTAACGTATTTGCACTTAAAAAAATATATGGGTACGTCAACCAGCCTGTCAGCCTGGGTTCCTAGATATTTTACAGAGTATCCCCAAGGAGGCTGGCAGTAAATTATAGGCTGTAGATACAAAACAGCTTCGGTGAAGAGAACACAGTTAGGCTCACAGAGGGCGAGGAGGAGAACTGAACAAGCATCAAACAAGTGGTGTGTCTACACCTTCTCATGTGGCTGGATCCACAGAGACCTCTTCAACATTTGGAAGACAGTTCTGGCTCCTGAGCATGTGCAGATTTAATTCTAACCTTACTGTGGCAGTATCTGCTCACACGATCCTAGGCATGTATCTATGGCCACGATACAACATATTTAGTACTAGGTCCATTGTCTTGCATTATTCTTTATTGCTTTCCTTGTGGTCTTCAATACATTTAAGCTTTTCCATATGTCACTGGGTCCTACAAAGCATTTTTCTCATAAATTACTCTTCTCCAAGTACAGATCTAAACTGTATTAAAAGCTGATAATTATTAGCCTAGTATACTAATATTTCATTTGTTACAAGCTTGCTTTTTCTAGTAAATGTTTTTAAACTTATCTTCTGGTGATTGACAGAATTTGTATTCGATATGTTGCTCTTTTCTTCAATGTTCCATTCGATTACTTTAAATTGTATTCCTCTTAAAGGTTCCTCTGCCAATATACTTAAAAGTGAGAGAGATGCACAATCTTGCACAATCTTGTTTTTTAAAGAAAAGAATAATGCCTTTTGGCATATGGATAACTGATGGAAAAGAAAACTTGCCTAAGAATGTAATTTGTTTTCCTAGTTAATATGAAAGGAATTTTGATTAAAAATATATTAAATTTTTATAGAATAATAAGAACTTTTAATTTCCTACAAATTTAAAAATCACAGTGGAAAGTTACAGTAATTTCTGTTGAAAAGGACTTGGTAATAAATGAGCAACAGCTGTTGCTACTTTTCATAAAGCTTTAAAAATATTTATTTAGGAAAAAAATGTTAAAATATAGTACCCCATTTCTTCCCCATTTCCCCTCTTATGATTTTTACTAGCCTGCAATTAGCAGAGTATTAAATTTATGGTAAATTTCCAAATTAAACAAGATTTTGCTTTTCTGATTTTTTTATGTGTAAATCTTAGAGATAGGGATAGGATAAGGAAATCATATTACTACCCTGTATATTTTAAGAAAACAGATGACTGAAGTCTAGAAATAACTACTGTCTATTGCTATGTCTTTAACTGTCTATCTATCTTGTTTCAAGGCCTCGTTCTAGATCAAGGGACAGTGGAGATGAAAATGAGCCCATTCAAGAGCGATTTTTCAGACCTCACTTCTTGCAGGCTCCTGGAGATCTGACTGTTCAAGAAGGAAGACTCTGTAGAATGGATTGCAAAGTAAGAGTTTCTGATTGCCTGCGGGTCTGTTGCCTCACTTCTCCCCTCACTGCCATTTCTCTGTAGTTCCTTTTGGGGAAAATTATATAAGGTATAAAATGATTCCAGCTTAAGAGGAGAAAAAAATGAGTGAAGCATACAGGACGTTTATATACAGTTTTTCATCTTTTTTTTTTAACTTTTGAATTTATATTAAACACGTTCTTTACTTAGAACCCTGTACACTATGTGAAAATACACAATAAATTGTTTTTAGTTATAGT